TGATTATTTAAATATTTGAATGATTTGCATACTCTCTTTCGATTGTTGATGTTTATAGCCACAGCTCGGTGTGACTCTGGCTGGTTCGGATCCAAATGTCAGTTCAAATGCCATTGCGTTGGAAATAAGTGTGACAGCACCGGTCGGTGTCTGGACGCCTCTAAATGTCAGAGAGGGTGGTTTGGACTTGGATGTCAGTATCATAAGTAACAGAATGACGTCATTGCGTTAAGATTACGGTAAACAATCAGATGTAATATAAAAACGCATTATTCTATCCGGGGGTGAGTGACATTAACAGAATTCATTTCATAGAGACGTGTGTGTTACAGCGTCTAGGATTGACAATTGTGGTGCCTATATGTGCTATAATAGCAGGCTTCTAGCAAGCATATCCCTGACGCTCTTGTCCCTTCGAAAAGCGAATAGAGGAAGTTTTTTTTTTTTTTTTTAAACATCTGATTGGTTGCAAGGTCTGCCATAAGGATGGACCAAATTATGGGAAACTTGGTAGCGATCCATAAGGTTGTTGGGATGACACGTTAAAATGATTTTTAGACAGATCCCTCACTTTTAGAATGAGATCTTTTAAACAAAACATGCCTGGTCATACTTTTAATTTGAGTGACAGCGGGTTCTAAAATTAGCTCAGGATATAATCTACGTAGAGAACATCCAACAATTCCCCATCCTTACTCAAAAATCAACCCCAAGCTTCTCGGATACTACATTTCAGCCAGGTGTTATTTATATTTAATTCTGTTCTGACTGTTGTTTTTTTCGCCGATGAAGGCTTCTGGCCGATACGTTCGTTGTTTTGTTGCGTTCTTTTTTGAGGAGTTCACATTGTTTCGTTCAGTCCCAAAAATCGAAGTAATAAAGAAAAGAATAATTATATGAAACTTAATGCCTCTTGTTTTATAATAAATACCATCAAATTTAACCTTTTCGTGATCGATTCAATTCTGTTGACATCATTATGTAGAGGATTTGACAACTCTGGCCACTGCCACTGTCACAACAACTCCAAACCTAACCTCCTGGTCATGGCTGGCCGATAACAACGACGCAAAATGCAACATTGACCAAAGGCTACAGTCCGTAGCAGTGAAATGGAATATGTCATACGTCTTTACCTGGCTGCAAATTACAGTCAAGGAAGCAGGTGAGTGAGGATTTGTATTACACTAGCTGACATTTGCACTGTACGAATACATCACAACACTTATTATATAATTTATTGCATTTAATCCATAGTATAATAAATTGAACAGATTCTTAATTTAAACAATTGCTCGGCCACTGACTTACTCACGTCCATCTACTATATGCATATACCATTTACATCTACCATCAACATCTACCATCTACACTACCATCTACCATCTACATCTACCATCTACATCTACCATCTATATCTACCATCTACATCTACCATCTACATCTACCATCTACATCTACCATCTACATCTACCATCTACATCTACCATCTACATCTACCATCTACATCTACCATCTACATCTACCATCTACATCTACCATCTACATCTACCATCTACATCTACCATCTACATCTACCATCTACATCTACCATCTACATCTACCATCTACATCTACCATCTACATCTACCATCTACATCTACCATCTTCGATCTGCCACCTACCATCACCATCTACCTCCTACCATCTATCACCTACAATCTATGTGCCTTAGAAAATATCATTTTTCCCCTGACCAGACACTAAAGACCCTAAAATTTAAGCCATATTTCTTCAATAGTTGCATCCCTACATTCATTCAACCAAGAGATTTTTTAATGATGATTCTTTCCCTTCTATTCATTTGTCCATTATCAGTAGAGAAAAGAGATTTCAATTTGAGACTATATGGCAATAACACAACTCTGAACTGCAGTAACAAGGAAATACTGAACATCTACAACCAAACATTTGAGATCCACTGTGACTTCCAAAAATTTTCTCGGCTTACACTTGGTGGAGAGAATGTAAAGAATCTGTGTTCCCTGTATATCAATGGAGGTATAGCTTATGGTGTATATCGATGAAAGTATAGTTCACATTTTATTTCAATGAAGGTATAGCTAACATTGACTCTTCAGCAGGCCTCACGTGCAGCTTCAGATCGCCAACTTCCAACGACGCCTCCCATTAGAGGTGGACTTAGGTAGAGTGTATAAATTTAAGAGTGAGAGCTAACCACAGGGCAAGACTTCTCTGAGAGCGAACCACAGGGCAAGACTTCTCTGAGAGCGAACCACAGGGCAAGATTTCTCTGAGAGCGAACCACAGGGCAAGATTTCTCTGAGAGCTAACCACAGGGCAAGACTTCTCTGAGAGCGAACCACAGGGCAAGACTTCTCTGAGAGCGAACCACAGGGCAAGATTTCTCTGAGAGCGAACCGCAGGGTAGTACTTCTCTGAGAGCGAACAACAGGGCAAGACTTCTCTGAGAGCGAACCACAGGACAAGACTTCTCTGAGAACAAATCTCAGGGAAAGACTTCTCTGACAGAAAACCACAGGGAAAGACTTCTCTGAGAGCGAACCACAGGGCAAGACTTCTCTGAGATCGAACCACAGGGCAAGACTTCTCTGAGAGCGAACCACAGGGCAAGACTTCTCTGAGAGCGAACCACAGGGCAAGACTTCTCTGAGAGCGAACCACAGGGCAAGACTTCTATGACAACTGATCACCAGACAAGACTTCTATGACAACTGATCACAAGGCAAGACTTCTATGACAACTGATCACAAGGCAAGACTTCAAAGACAAATGATAGACATGACTTCTATGACAACTGATCACCAGACAAGACTTCTATGACAACTGATCACAAGGCAAGACTTCTATGACAACTGATCACAAGGCAAGACTTCAAAGACAAATGATAGACATGACTTCTATGATAACTGATCACAAGACATGACTTCTATGACAACTGATCACACGACAAGACTTCTATGACAACTGATCACAAGGCATGCCTTCTATGACAACTGATCACAAGACAAGACTTCTATGACAACTGACCACAAGGCAAGACTTCTATGACAACTGATCACAAGGCAAGACTTCTATGACAACTGATCACAAGACAAGACACATGTGATTTCCAAAGAAGAGAAAGATTTAAGATAATGTTACATACTGGCATTGTGTGCTCCCACGACCAGTGTTTGACCAATACCTACATTTAGCTAGTAGAAATACAACCCTTTTCATGGGAAAAGCAGGCGCTTTGGCACTGGCATCATACAATCCTTAAGTGGAACTCGTCAGGGTAATCCTTTCACCATGATACATTGATAGAAGTTAAATCTGATATCACTATCACTTCCATTTGGTTTCACATTCAAGATTATGTGTCGGATTGAGTCTACAATGTCTACGGGGGGAATGAGTAAATAAATCCGTACATATCTGAGACACTGTGGGAGGAGATCTCAGGACATGTATGGGACTTTGTGGGAGGAGATCACCAGGACATGTATGGGACACTGTGGGAGGAGATCACCAGGACATGTATGGGACACTTTGGGAGGAGATCACCATGACACCAGGACATGTATAAGACACTGTGGGAGGAGATCACCAGGACATGTATGGTACACTGTGGGAGGAGATCACCAAGACAGGTATGGGACATAGTGGGAGGAGATCACCAGGACATGTATGGTACACTGTGGGAGGAGATCCCCAGGACATGTATGGGACACTGTGGGAGGAGATCACCAGGACATGTTTGGTACACTGTGGGAGGAGATCACCAGGACATGTATGGGACACTGTGGGAGGAGATCACCAGGACATGTATGGGACACTTTGGGAGGAGATCACCATGACACCAGGACATGTATGGTACACTCTTGGAGGAGATCACCAAGACAGGTATGTGACATAGTGGGAGGAGATCACCAGGACATGTAGCGGACACAGTGGGAGAAGATCACCAAGACATTATGGGACACTGTTTGAGGAAATCACCAAGACAGGTATGGGACATAGTGGGGGGAGATCACCAGGACATGTAGCGGACCCAGTGGGAGGAGATCACCAGGACAGGTAACAATAGACAGCACATCTGTGTTAGTTTGTGCATTCTAATTCAATCTGCCCACCATATCCACCTCTGTACTGCCAGGAACATGTGGTGGTTGGAGATAACCGTTTGCAACTATGTGTTTGCACACGATAAACATCTCCAGAGCTTTCGAATTACTTGTAGTTTTGTGAGTAGCCTGATTATTTATAGTTTTATGAGTTTCCTGATTATTTATAGTTTTATTATTCGTAGATTTTCTATTTTCCTGATTATTTATAGTTTCACTTTTTATACAACCTTTTTTAACAAATTTAAAGTAAAGGATTGTTTAGTGAACAAATCTGAAGTAGGTCAAACTTATTTCCTTCTAACAATTTCATGTGTGTTTTTTAAAATAAAACTATTAACATAATAAAGTTAATTTTATGAATTGTTCGAGAAGTGTAAAAGGACACGAAGAAGATAAAATATTCTAAATAAAGTGATTCATTTTTATATATATATATTTATATATATATATATATATATATGTATATCAATATATCAATATTTAATGTCCCAAACATTTTTACACCGCCGATTTATTACACCAACTATTTCTGTAAAACAAAAGAAAATATTTCGCACCAAAAACACACTCATGGTATGTTTTAAGAATCTCGTTATTAAAGGTCAATGCCTCCTTCTGAAAAAAAAAAGAAAAAATATATCGTTTATAACAAATATAGGTCATTTTATTGAATTGACAGCTAAGTGATAGTTGTTGATAAAAAAAAATTGTTACTTAGAGAATTATGTATTTTCAACCTCATCTGAACGTGACATCTGATGCTATGCACACCAAAACCCAGTTCAACCCTCTTATGGCCCCCAAGTGGTTTGATAGAACGGCCTGTTTTAGCTCTTTTAGTCATTTTAGTTTTATTTTGTTCGATAAGGTCGCAATGTTGCTTTACGGCAGTTGGCGACACAGTCCAGTCAGTATACAGGAATACCAGGCCTGAACACAAACGCTTCAAACGCTGTCGATGGTGACACTAGTCCTTACCTTCACCAAAACAGCTGCACTCACACCCAGCCTGGTGCCCCTCCCTATCCAACTTGGACCGTCACCTTCACCCATCTGTACCTGATTACTAGATTTATTCTCTACAACAGACAGAGTTACACTAGTATGTGAACCTGATTTTTTAAAACTTTTTTTTTATGGTTTAAGGTTTAAGATGTTTATAACACTAAAGCGCTTTCGTTGTAACGATTATCACCTTAAACATTTAAATTATTCGATTAATTGTAACACATTGCATTACATCAGTGGTTCTCAACCTTCCTAATGCCGCGATCCTTTGATACAGTTCCTCATATGTGGTGACCCAAAACCATAAAATTATTTTCGTTGCCACTTCATAAATATGTGTTTCCGATAGTCTCAGGCGATCCCTGTGTAAAGGTCGTTCTATCCCCAAAATGGGTCGCGACCCAGAGGTAGAGAACCGCTGCATTAGATCCTTGATGAATGCCTTTGTGCTTACATTTCAGGAGAGAGACTGATATATTTCAAACTACGAGCATTCAATGCCAACAATGCAACTGTGTTTAGCTACACTGACGAGAGCTCGGAGTTTTGTCTGACTTTTCAAGTCTTAAACACCAGAAGTAGCGATCCGGTCCAGGGTGTAACTGTTACAGGCAATCACACAGTTGAAATTGACACTACACCAATACTGACACTGTGCGAGATGGAAAGTTACGGAGGTCTGTACTGATTCATGCAGAAGACTGATGTCCATGGTTTGTCTTGCTTGTTAAAGTCCTGGGGTTCATGCTGTTGATTTTTTCATAATTGTATTTTATTTTAATTTCAAGAGTATGTCTCTTTTGATAATATTTTTATGTACATCGCGGTAAGCCCAACCCTAGGCAGGGGTATCGCGCTATAAAAGACCACAAATTATTATTAGTATTATTATCATTATGTGGGAACTTGTAATGTCTTTTGTTGAACTCATGTTACCACGAAGGGTCACCAAATGTTTAACTTTTAATTGTCTTAAAACATTTATGAAATGTAATTTATTAGTTTAACGTTGTTTTCCTTTAAAACAAAACTCTAAAATCATATTATTGTCTAATTCACCCCCCCCCCAAACCACATTATAAACTCATTACATTATGCAGTATTATTTCCAAAACAGGAAGACCTAAATTGAAGATTTTTCAAGTCAAATCATTTCATACCTCAGACAGCTTTTCTATTTTTGTCTAACATGTATGTCACCTTTTTTAAAAGAATTCTTGCAATCATCAAAGTTCTTTTTAAAATGATCCTAATTTTATATAGTCTACACCCTTCTGGCAGAATGTCCACCTGGGACTTGGGGCTTAGAATGTGAGAACTGTTCTGTCGTTTGCTACAACACTTCATGCCATAGAGATTCTGGGTTGTGTGACAATGGTTGCCATGGTTACATCGATCCCCCGTTCTGTACATGACGTAAGTAGAACCAATAAATTCATTATTACCAATATGAACACACTGGAAGCCCGAGCATTTGGCGATCACCGTGGCTCAATCTGTTTGCACAAATTCTTTTTTTTTTTTTTTTGCTTTTCACAAATGTTTTATTAAATTATTTAATTCCACTAAAATAATTTAAGTTATTAATAACATTAATCAACACGTTTTAAGTATAAATGGTTTATAAAAAGTGCGCAGAACTGGGATGGAGACAACTTTAAGACCTTTCCCAAGGACTTGACATCAATGTATGTCTTTAATGATATTCAAATCATTGCCGTGTATGTATTATGTCGGTAGAATGTGTCCGTTTTAAAGAATATAATCTTCAGCAACATTTTCGGGCTAACCAAGGAAATTTTGGAATTAATTTGAATAAAACTGATTTTAAGCGAAAAGCTAATGGCTTGGAGAGAGTTTTTAAAAAATAAAATAAACTACTTTTTTCAAGCCGTAATCTTTTCGGCGAGGCTGTCCAGTGTTTTATGTTAATATGTCCAGTGTTTTATGTTAATATGCCCAGTGTTTTATGTTAATATGCCCAGTGTTTTATGTTAATATGCCCAGTGTTTTATGTTAATATGCCCAGTGTTTTATGTTAATATGCCTAGTGTTTTATGTTAATATGCCCAGTGTTTTATGTTAATATGCCAAGTGTTTTATGTTAATATATCCAGTGTTTTATATTAATATGCCCAGTGTTTTATGTTAATATGTCCACTGTTTTATGTTAATATGTCCAGTGTTTTATGTTAATATGTCCAGTGTTTTAGTTTAATATGTCCAGTGTTTTATTCCATATGTCCAGTGTTTTATACCCATATGTCCATGGTTTATGTTAATATGTCCAGTGTTTTATGTTAATATGTCCAGTGTTTTATGTTAATATGTCCAGTGTTTTAATTTAATATGTCCAGTGTTTTATGTTAATATGTCCAGTGTTTTATGTTAATATGTCCAGTGTTTTATGTTAATATGTCCAGTGTTTTATATTAATATGTCCAGTGTTTTAATTTAATATGTCCAGTGTTTTAGTTTAACATGTCCAGTATTTTATGTCAATATGTCCAGTGTTATAATTTAATATGTCCAGTGTTTTAGTTTAAAATGTCCAGTGTTTTATGTCAATATGTCCAGTGTTTTAATTTAATATGTCCAGTGTTTTAATTTAATATGTCCAGTGTTTTATGTTAATATGTCCAGTGTTTTAATTTAATATGTCCAGTGTTTTAATTTAATATGTCCAGTGTTTTAATTTAATATGTCCAATGTTTTATGTTAATATGTCCAGTGTTTTATGTTAATATGTCCAGTGTTTTATGTTAATATGTCCAGTGTTTTAATTTAATATGTCCAGTGTTTTATGTTAATATGTCCAGTGTTTTATGTTAATATGTCCAGTGTTTTATGTTAATATGTCCAGTGTTTTATGTTAATATGTCCAGTGTTTTATGTTAATATGTCCAGTGTTTTATGTTAATATGTCCAGTGTTTTATGTTAATATGTCCAGTGTTTTATGTTAATATGTCCAGTGTTTTATGTTAATATGTCCAGTGTTTTATGTTAATATGTCCAGTGTTTTATGTTAATATGTCCAGTGTTTTATGTTAATATGTCCAGTGTTTTATGTTAATATGTCCAGTGTTTTATGTTAATATGTCCAGTGTTTTATGTTAATATGTCCAGTGTTTTATGTTAATATGTCCAGTGTTTTATGTTAATATGTCCAGTGTTTTATGTTAATATGTCCAGTGTTTTATGTTAATATGTCCAGTGTTTTATGTTAATATGTCCAGTGTTTTATGTTAATATGTCCAGTGTTTTATGTTAATATGTCCAGTGTTTTATGTTAATATGTCCAGTGTTTTATGTTAATATGTCCAGTGTTTTATGTTAATATGTCCAGTGTTTTATGTTAATATGTCCAGTGTTTTATGTTAATATGTCCAGTGTTTTATGTTAATATGTCCAGTGTTTTATGTTAATATGTCCAGTGTTTTATGTTAATATGTCCAGTGTTTTATGTTAATATGTCCAGTGTTTTATGTTAATATGTCCAGTGTTTTATGTTAATATGTCCAGTGTTTTATGTTAATATGTCCAGTGTTTTATGTTAATATGTCCAGTGTTTTATGTTAATATGTCCAGTGTTTTATGTTAATATGTCCAGTGTTTTATGTTAATATGTCCAGTGTTTTATGTTAATATGTCCAGTGTTTTATGTTAATATGTCCAGTGTTTTATGTTAATATGTCCAGTGTTTTATGTTAATATGTCCAGTGTTTTATGTTAATATGTCCAGTGTTTTAATTTAATATGTCCAGTGTTTTAATTTAATATGTCCAGTGTTTTAATTTAATATTTCCAGTGTTTTATGTTAATGTGTCCAGTGTTTTATGTTAATATGTCCAGTGTTTTATGTTAATATGTCCAGTGTTTTATGTTAATATGTCCAGTGTTTTATGTTAATATGTCCAGTGTTTTATGTTAATATGCCCAGTGTTTTATCTTAATATGTCCAGTGTTTTATGTTAATATGTCCAGTGTTTTAATTTAATATGTCCAGTTTTTTAATTTAATATGTCCAGTGTTTTAATTTAATATGCCCAGTGTTTTAATTTAATATGTCCAGTGTTTTATGTTAATATGTCCAGTGTTTTAATTTAATATGTCCAGTGTTTTAATTTAATATGTCCAGTGTTTTATGTTAGTATGCCCAGTGTTTTATGTTAATATGTCCAGTGTTTTATGTTAATATGTCCAGTGTTTTAGGTTAATATGCCCAGTGTTTTATGTTAATATGTCCAGTGTTTTATGTTAATATGTCCAGTGTTTTATGTTAATATGTCCAGTGTTTTAGGTTAATATGCCCAGTGTTTTATGTTAATATGTCCAGTGTTTTATGTTAATATGTCCAGTGTTTTATGTTAATATGCCCAGTGTTTTATTTTAATATGCCCAGTGTTTTATCTTAAATATGTCCAGTGTTTTATGTTAATATGCCTAGTGTTTTATCTTAATATGTCCAGTGTTTTATGTTAATATGCCAAGTTTTTTATGTTAATATGCCCAGTGTTTTATCTTAATATGTCCAGTGTTTTATGTTAATATGTCCAGTGTTTTATGTTAATATGTCCAGTGTTTTTATTTAATATGTCCAGTGTTTTAATTTAATATGTCAAGTGTTTTATGTTAATATGTCCAGTGTTTTAATTTAATATGTCCAGTGTTTTAATTTAATATGTCCAGTGTTTTAATTTAATATGTCCAGTGTTTTATGTTAATATGTCCAGTGTTTTATGTTAATATGTCCAGTGTTTTATGTTAATATGTCCAGTGTTTTATGTTAATATGTCCAGTGTTTTAATTTAATATGTCCAGTGTTTTAATTTAATATGTCCAGTGTTTTATGTTAATATGTCCAGTGTTTTATGTTAATATGTCCAGTGTTTTATGTTAATATGTCAAGTGTTTTATGTTAATATGTCCAGTGTTTTAATTTAATATGTCCAGTGTTTTAATTTAATCTGTCCAGTGTTTTAATTTAATATGTCCAGTTTTTTATGTTAATATGTCCAGTCTTTTATGTTAATATGTCCAGTGTTTTATGTTAATATGTCCAGTTTTTTAATTTAATATGTCCAGTGTTTTATGTTAATAT